AGGACGAAAACGGTCAGAAATATGCAACGCTGTCATTTAATGAATGCACCAAAAACCACCAGGATGCCAGCGAACGAAACAAAGAGAGTCTGCGGGGATTTATGTTCGAGCAGCCAGGGAACCCACTGTGTCCTGTCGCTTCACTGGAGAAATATCTGTCACTGCTGCCACCCAATCCACCGGCCTTTTATCTCCATCCAAAGCAGAGAAACTACACCGACGATGTATGGTAAGTTAACATGTAAAGTCTGTTTGTTTTGTTACAGTGTAGCTTAGTTACTTTGAAACGTTTAGGGGACTTATTTTTCTCTCTCCTAACGGTTAGGTATACTAGAGAGCCCATGGGGGTGAATTTTCTTGGCTCCATGTTGCCATGGATCTGTAAAGTAGCTGGCACTGAGTCCATCTACACCAACCACTGCCTGCTAAGCACCACTGTACAAAAACTCTCTGACGCTGGCTTAGAGGCGAGAGAAATCATGTCAGTAACGGGGCATAAATGTGAATCCTCCCTGCAGTCATACTGGCGCCCAAACTACAATGAGAGATAATCCTGGAGCAACATCCTTGCTTCTGGCACAGCGCAATTAAAATGCACCTGTCCAGAGTCAGACACCCCCCTACTAGCAAAGAGGAGTGCTAACATAACACTACTTCAGCAATTGCACAATTAATGGAGATATCCAGATAAATGTAGCTAAATAGTCAACCTGGATAAATGTTATTAAGCTTTAAGCATGCTTTCCACTGTGTTTCTGTAGCTCCTGTGTATTTTTGCGTCCGTCTGTTGCTTGGTGAGGAACTATTTCTTTGGCGGAAGAGTGAAAGAATGATTATTTCTCATTAATAAATTATTGCAGCTCTTATTAATGTGTGTTTATTTTATGAAACCCAGAGCAATTAGCCCCGTGAGGCCTTGGTTCGCATTGTGCCTAACAACGCCCCTTAGCCGCCAACAAACCACGGCCTCTTGGGGCTAATTGCTTAAATTCTACACCCTAGATGAGTGGCTTATAAAGTATGCATACGGTACGCTGGGCCTAGGTGTGTTCAGTGGGAGAAAACAAGACTATGTTAAAGGGATGGAAAATATTTTTTGAAATGGGGTTGTATGGAGTACTTATCCGTAGTCAGTGTATTACATACAGTCGATGTCAGTTGGCATGCCCCTAGTTTGGAGAAGCAGGCAGGATTCAGACACTGAAGCTAAGCAATGTACTGCTGTCAAGAGGTCAACAACAAAACATATTTTAATCACCCAAAATTAGTATCTAAGTGTATATTATATTGAGAGCATTATCACTGCTTTACCTAAATGTCAGACATTTCCAACAGGAAAATGAAGCCATTATATCACTCTCCTCAAAGCCAGACTTCTTTGAGAAAAACAAGAGCTAGTGATCTGCCCCTGCCTTGATCAGTTAGTTTGTTTGTGTCATTGTGTGACTTTGGCTTTAAAAGGGTTTGTTCGGATTCACCAAAGTCACACAATGACATAAACTCACTAACTAATCGAAGCAGAGGTAGACAAACATGTAGCAAACCCATTTTGTTTTTGTGCTTGCTGTTTCTCGTTTTGTCCACCAGAGATCAGCTTGCATTGTTTGCAGGTCAATTTTGAAAAAACAAGTACTTTGTGCTTTAGATGCATTTTTTGACATGATTTCTTTAAAATACAAATTCCATGATTTGTGTTGCTATTAAGAAGATGTAATTTCATTCATTTTTATATGTATATTTTTGTTTTGGAGATAATGGTTCCGTTTTTAAACAGTGAGATTTTATTTTGAAGACCATTACTTCCTACTTCCTTCCTGTGTTGTACTGCCGAACAAAACAAAGCCACTTGACTACGTAATGAATGGTAAAACGGTAAAAGTTCAAGGTAAACAAAGGAAAATAAAACAGCAACGGCAACTTAATGATAAAAACGTCGAAGGCTGAGTGTATTTTGGCAAACCCCGAGGAGGCATAAGGTTGGTGTGTGTTGTGCCTGTGGTGATTATTTTCTTACTTTATGATTTGTGTCAAAAAGTATGCTAACTCTTTTGCCCACCTGTTTGGTGAATTGGTGATGTATTGCTTGGTATAATGTTGAGTTGTCTGAGAAAGTACTGTGATCATTTACCATTTATTATGGACAGAAGTGGAAACAGAAATGTGATTGCTTTGTTTTCTTTGTTTTGTCATTTCTCATGTTGGTTTATGGAGCTGGTTTTGTGGAACAGCAATAAATGTTAAAACCATCAGTCGAGTCTCTTACCATCTTTCGGAGGGTATGCTACAAACAGCTACTGCGCTCAGCGAGCTAAAATTACCGTTTTTGTCAGTCGAGACTGGTGGTTTTGACGAGAGCAGAGATGGGGAACTGAGGCAGTTAAGGCGCTTAAGAACAGGCTATGATGGAAAGGTAAAGCGGTAAAATTACTCTCAATATAGCATACCCTTAAACTGATAGTGAGTTATTTAAGTGGAACTTTTTTTAGTTAGCTAAAAGACATTTTGTGGTTAACCTTGTCCACAGTGGTACATTGCTTATCTTCTGTGTCAGACTCCATACCTGCTTCTGCAAACCAGGGGTTTGCTGATTGACATTTACTGTGGGTCCTACACTGACTAATGGATAAATACCTCATACAACCTCACTTCAAAAAATCCAGACTATCCCTTTAACTTTCAAGTTTCAAGTTCTACACTGTCATGCTCACACCAGTTACAAAGAAGCCGTCAGATCGACAATGTCTGGTGCCACCATGGCGCATGAGAGACCCTCTCTGTCTTCATGATACTGATATTGTAGACTAGAGCACCACATGCTAATGTTATCTCACCAGTCTGCTAAGAAGACACCCTTAAGCCACGGATACAATTAAAGCAGGACTTGATGAACCCAACCCTGACCCTTCATTTTATGAGGGCCACATTTAACTGCCTCTGTGGTGGTGTCTCTATGTCAAGATAGGGGCTCAGCAGGAATCTGGAACATGCATTTCCCCAGAAAATCATAAAAGTTAAAAAAAAAAAAAAAAAAAAAAAGTCTCCTGTTTAGAAAGGGGACTGCACAATTGCTTTATTAGTGTCACAATTCAACAAGTAAGCTAAAAGAATTAATGGTGTAGCCTATATTTGCAAAAGTTTGCTCAAACTGGTGTCTCACTGATGACTCTCAGGAAATACAGGAGTCTGGACAGAGCCAGGCTATCTTGCATGATACTTGTGACCATAAGTGTGGACAATCAGTGGGGTGCAGAGGTTCCTCTGCATCGCCCATGAAGAGTACAGCAAGAGTCGCATGGATTAGTGATGCAGCTACTAAAATCCAGTAACAACCCTTGCTACATTTACATACGCACTATTTTCTGTCAATCAAATTGGCTGGTGTTAGCTTGACGATGAGGTCTGAGTGAACAGGAAGTAATTTGTGCAGAGCAGAGTGAAATCTGACTTGAGTGTGCAGCGATATTGAACAAAGTGGCTTGAGCGGGAGAGCAAAGGGAACAAACAGCTTTGTGAGCCAGAAGCAGAAATTCTCGCTGCTCCACTCTGCTCACATACAATCCAAGGCTGAGAAGTGAAGCCAATGCTGAAGTGCCAAAAACTGCAGTTCCTCAAATAGCCACTTCAGGCTGGCTCCAAAACAGGGTAATTCCCCATATACCCCATATTAAAATGGCCAACTTTACAGCAGCAAAAAACATGTTTACATCCTGGTACAAAATACCTTCATGATAAGTGGACAGGAGGTGAAATGTTTTGATAACTCCCTCATGTACATTTCATTAAGGCACAAAGTTACAAATGTTTAAGGGTGGGGCTGCTTGAATGACAGGCTTTCTGTGTGGCATCACCACAGTCTCTGAGTCAGATCCACCCCTGGCTCCTCTACAGCTCCAACCTAATATCCTAATATGGTCTCTTCTGGGTCCAGTAAACCAAGATGGTGAACTTGAGGCTTCAGAATGGCAGTCTAGTAGCTTTGTCCATTATTTAAACAGTCTCTGGCTCTAACATACACAACCAGGGGATGGGGTGCCAGTGGCTCAGTTCAAAGGGGCTTGGCTTGGCGTGGACTGGTAGCTGAAGAGGTGCCAGTTTGTCTCCTGGGCACTGCCGAGGTGCCCTTGAGCATGGCACTAACCCCCCAACTGCTTGGTGCGCCTGTCCAAGGCAGCCCCCTTGCTCTGACATCTCACTACTTAACACATGTATAGGTCCTGTTTGTGCATGTGTGTGTATTTCAGGCCTGTGTGTATATGAAAACAGAGTGGAGACAAAAAGAAGAATTTCCCCTTGAGTAATAAAGTATATGAAAAAAAATTCAAAAGGAAAAGAAATAAAGGGCTGTCCACAGCTCAGCCCCAGCATAGGCGGCTCGCCCAGGTAGATAAAATCCAAATTCCAATTTTCACAGTGGGCTGGTAGCCAGCTGCAGCGCTGGGTCTGACCAGCAGCAGAACGTTTGCTGATCTGAGGGGGGTTTGGGTCCATCCGGGATCAGAATATGTATTTTGTGTTGCATCACTGGAATTATTTTGTTTATTCTTTTATCTTTTCTTTTCTTTTCTTTTTTACAGCAGTTCTAAGCATTGGGGAATGTGAGACAAAGAATGTAAATAAAGATACTTGCCTGCTGTTAGTGTTTTCAGGTCACCGTGCTGTGTGTGACAAGTTCAGGTAGGCTGATGATCCTGAGATCTGTATCAGGTGTTTGGGGTTGTAGTAGTGCAGTTTAGATGTGAGGTTAACTGTTGTGCTGAGCTGCATGTGAATAAACAGAACTGTTCTGAGAACCAGCACTTTCAACATATGACCACTAGAGTGTGATGTTACACTCACGTATCTGACTGGATCTAATAATGATCTCAGAAAATGCAAGTGAAATGATTAATATTTTTCCAGTTTGTAGAGGTGACGTGAAATTCTGTTGTGGACTGTTTTTTTTTTTTTTAAAGAAAAAAAAAAAGAAAAAATATCATGCCATAAAACAACATCGGATGACTACCGCAGTGAGAGACACATGGGGTGTGGCTTTTACAGGAAACTGAAACTGTCAGATCAATATAATGCCAAGTCACAGGCTGGCAGAGCAAAGCCAGAAAGTGAACCATGGCGTCTGCTTCCTACTCCGAAGATCTGACTTGTCCTATTTGTCTGACTATCTTCACTGATCCAGTGAATCTTCCCTGCGCACACTCTTTCTGCAGAGGATGTATTACAGATGCACTGAGTTCACAGCAGCAGTGTCCACAGTGTCGGACAGCTGTTCCAACAGAAATAAAAAGTCTTCCAACCAGCCATATTTTAAAAAGACTGGCTGAAAAGGCAAAAGAAGCAGAGAAGATAAAGACAGAGCCTGCGAAGGAGAAAGCAGGGGTACGTTGGTGCTATTTATATGGCAGTCAGTGTTTATGTGGCCACTTAAACGATGTAGAAATTGATCATTTCGGGACTTTGCGCACATCATGTATATCCTTAGCCTAATAGTACACATTTTGTAGTCCCATGTAGCCTAATCTGTCAGGCTTTAATCTCATACATTACACTTTGTGTGCCGCGGTCAGTTTTTACATCCAACTGTAAGCACAGCAGCGTCAAACTATCAGCCATCAGAAGTGCGTCATTATCTGTGGACGGTGTTTGATCAGGCCCAGATTTTTCATCAAAACAAATGTCGGTGTGCTTGAAAAAATAAAGTAGGCCATCTACTTCTTAAGTAGGCGGTTTATAAATGATCCTATATGGTGGCTTAAATGGACTGATTTTACATTTTGCGCACAAGACTGTATGTGCATTTTTTCGAACATAATGATTAAGTTTTTGTTTTTAATATAACTTTTAGAAAAAATAAAATAAAAAGACTGTATCATCATCTTTAAACTTTTGCATTTATTAATACATGTATGTTTTTTTTTTTGTTTTTTTTTTTTACAGGTGTGTGAGTTGTGCCCTGAGCATGAAGAAAAGCTGAAACTCTTTTGTGTCACAGATCAGCAGTTGGCTTGTATCATATGCCGAGATGGGGAGAGACATGAAGGACACAAGTTTAAACCAATCAAAGAAGCAGCTGCATCTGTGAGACAGGAGTTGGAGAAGGGGATGGAGAACCTTCGTGGTGATATCCCTGCTATGGAGAGCGTAGCCAACACACAGAGGGAAGAAATAAGAAAAACCAAAGCAAAGTCTGAGCAGCTGATGACCCAAATCCACAGACAGTTTGAGGAGATGCACCAGTTTCTGAGAAAGAGAGAAGATGAGATAAAGAATGAGCTGAAATTCAAAGAGCAAGATGATGTTGAGAAAATGAGCAAGAGCTTGAAGGTTATAGAAACAGCATTGTCTGAGCGCAGAGAGCTGGAAGCAAAGGTAACATCAGTTGTGAAAATTGAGGACTCAGAGAGGCTGTTAAAGAGCTGGACTGAAGGGAAGAGCAGGACAACTGCAGAAGATTTAATCAAGCCCAAGGCAAATGATCTCCAAGTGGTGGATAGCTCTCTCTCTCTGGGGCCTTATGAAAGCCACCTGCAGTTCTTTATGTGGAAGGAGATGCTTCAAGTGATCCAGCCCCGAGCAGAGCTGCTCTCACTCAAAAGCAACAGTGCAGATATAGCTGTGTCTGAAGATGGGCGGAGTTTGTTC